TCTGGTAAAACAGTAGAAATAAAATATGTAACTAAATTAATGTGATTATTATTCCTTGCATCCCTTTCTAACTTTTCTTCCAAGGACCTAAAGGAGGTATAATCCAATTCTACACACTTTATACTTTCACATGAGAACTTCCTAATAAGTATTAACAGCTAACTGTAATGTTAGTTCTAACTAGAATAGAGCCATTGAAATGAATAGCACCTCTTAGTTCCAGGTATTCAAGTGCCTGTGATTTCAGTGGGTTTACTGTTGGTGGGATATTAGATTTAGCCACGTGACGTTATCATATTGAGTATAATTCATGACATGATAAGGTCACAGGGTTAAACCCAGTAGTCCGACTATTACCCAAAAACTCATTTTATAGTTTCACTGTCTATGAAGCTTTTTGGTAAAACAGTACAGTAGAAATAAAATACGTAACTAAATTAATGTGATTATTATTCCTTGCATCCCTTTCTAACTTTTCTTCCAAGGACCTAAAGGAGGTATAATCCAATTCTACACACTTTATACTTTCACATGAGAACTTCCTAATAACCAATTTAAGTATTAACAGCTAACTGTAATGTTAGTTCTAACTAGAATAGAGCCATTGAAATGAATAGCACCTCTTAGTTCCAGGTATTCAAGTGCCTGTGATTTCAGTGGGTTTACTGTTGGTGGGATATTAGATTTAGCCATGTGACCTTATCATATTGAGTATAATTCATGACATGATAAGGTCACAGGGTTAAACCCAGTAGTCCGACTATTACATTTATAGAGGTAAGAGTTATAATTATGGATTACAGAAGCATTGATTTCAGTAGCCCTGACATGTTCACATTAAATGGGCCCTAAAAATTTACAGACAATTGGATCTTGGCCACTTTTTTTTTTCCAAATAGACTAGTCCTATGCCTCAGTTTTGCCAGGGTGGGGATAAGATGTTGTTACACTTTGATAATGCCACAGTCTTATCTAATCCTGGAAATGCACAGAGGAAAAAAATCCACGAAACAGATCATGGTGGGGAAATGGTGGGTGTGCCTGTCCTAGAGGAAGTATTTTCACACGCCACCGGCTAGGTGAGTCACGGATCTGGGCAGATGGCAAGCCTTCCAGTATCTTTCCATGGAGCAAGGGGTTGAGGAGGAGGAGACATTTGCTCTGGCCCCACTCTTTTGAGATTTGCTACAAAAGAGTCATGTTATGGTTTAAAAAAAGAGAAGATTGTCTTGAACCCACACTGCAAGCTCCATGCTACAGTTTTCTAATCAGTCAGCTAAGACACGGACACACTGTGGAATGTTTCTCTTTTCCCCAACATAGCCAAGATCAGGACTTTGAGATGGAATCTAACACGAGGAGGAAAAGCTCCCATTTTACATGCAGCGTAAATGCAGTGTGATGCTAGGTGAGGAGTGTGTGTGTGGAGCCAGAATCACGTGCCAGGTATATTGGAGTCAATTGGGAAGAGTGTTGTGCATACCAATAAAGTGACCATTTCATGGGCCAACCAGCTCTTTTACTGTCCCACAGCAACCTACTGTATGTGCCTGAATTCCAAGTCCCACCATCCTGTCTGTCTTGTCTTATAGACCCAGCCCTATTGTGTAGTACTCTAGCAACAGTCATTGCCCCTTTCCTACATCATCTCTCCCCATACCCACTTATATATCTGAAATATCTTGCAGCATTCCTCCCCCCAATTCCATCTGTGTATTCTGAAAGGGAGTGCAGCAAATTTAAATGAGAAGGGATGGGAGATGCCACTTTATAACACCAGAAGGTATAATTATGCTAATAGGATTTCAGCCTCAGCTTCCGGAGTTTGTACGTGAATTGTCTAGACAACCTTTCATGTAAGTTGTTCAGTGGTACAAAGGGGTGCTAATAAGTATTGAGCCTTTCCCCCAAAAAATTAAGCTAGGAAACTGTAACTGCCACACTATTCTACATATTCCAGGAAGTCAATGCACTTGCGACATCTGTCCTGCAGCTTCTTAAGTCCCTGCAAATAAAATTCTTCTGACTGCTGGTGTAACCACTCTTTGCAGCATTAGTTGCCTCCAGAACACTCCCAAATCATTGTCCCTTTAGGTATTTTTTGGGTTTGGGGCACAGATAATAGTCAGAAGGAGCCAGGTTGGGAGAATGGAGTGGATGGGTCATCACTTGAAAGCCTAAGGAGGTCAGTTTTGCCATTGTTTCACCTGCAGTGTATAATGAGGCATTGTCATGCAACAGGATGACACCTTTGGAGAGCTTTCCTTGACATTTTTCCTTGA